TTCCGTTCTCCATCTGAGCTTGAAGCACTTAAAGGAAAGAAATACTTATATGCTTTTGTTGTTCGGTGTTTAACACAATCATTCCCCAGCATCTAGTAGACAAACTGGGCCTTTTAGGATTAAACACTCCTTTGTGCAACTGGATTCTTGATTTCCTTACCAACAGGCCCCAGTATGTGTGAGTTGGAACAAATACCTCTAATACCATTTTCTTGAGCACAGGTTCTCTTCAGGCTGTGTCTTAAGTCCGCTGCTGTTCACCCTGTTGACCCATGACTGTTGTGCTAGGTTTGCCACCAACCATATTGTGAAGTTCGCAGATGATACAACAGCAGTGGGCCTTATTCAGGATGACAAGGTGGAAGCTTACCTCAAGGAGGTTGGGGGGCTGGTGAACTGGTGTAAGGAAAACAGTCTAGTTTTAAATATCAGAAAAACCAGAGAGATCATTGTTGATTTCAGAAAAGGCAGGCACAGCCACACTTCTCTGTGCATTAATGATTCACCTGTAGAGATGGTTACCAGCATCAAATTCCTGGGTGTGCAGCTAATGAGTAGGCTGACTTGGTCGCTCAACAGTAAGAAACTGGCGAAGCGGGCACAGCAGCACCTGCATTTTCTGCGTCACATGAGAAAAGCACATCTTCTGTACTGGATAAGGATGGAAAACTTAAAGACAGACAAGTTCTTCAACAACAAGGTATTGATTTAACATGGTGGTCGTATTTGCAAATTCAAACAAGATATGAAAAAGATGTAAATTTAACGGGGTTTTATAAAGAACAGATATCAATTTATAAAATACTCCTAACAACAGATGAAAATTTGATTTAAAAACTTTATAAATTTCTGTTAAGTTGGAAGATGGAAGAAGAAAAAGTAAAAGAAACAATGATAGTGTGGGCAAAGAACTTTGAACATTCTATAAACTTAGAAGATTGGCAAAAACTCTGGGATAGAAATATTAAACTTACTAAAGCAGCCTCATATAAAGAAAACTTATAAAAAATGTTTTATAGATGGCATATGACACCAGTTAGATTAGCGAAAATGTTTAAAAACGTATCGAATATTTGCTGGAAATGTAAACAAAAAACAGATACCGTACCTACTACCATGCCTGGTGGACATACCCTAAAGCAAATAAATTTTGGTTTAATATCTGTGGATGGCTGGAAAAATGACTAAAATACAAATAGAATTTAAGCCAAAATTGTTTTTGTTAGGATTATTAGGAACTAATTACGGAAAAGAGAATGAATATTTAATATTACATGTATTGACAGCGGCGAGAATTTTGGAAAAATGAAGATTTACCATTGATCAGACTATAATTACTAAAATTTTAGAATGTGCAGAAATGGATAGATTAACTTTAGAGATCAAAGAGAAAGAAGACTATCTACTTTAAAACATGGGAAAAAATTTATCAATAGCTAGCAATAAGATAGAATGAGAAAAGATTTTGAAATTAATTTGGATGAATGTGATTTTAAGCATTAGTGATTATAACTAATTAATATCTTATTAATTATGGTTATTTAGTAAGATGAATATTTATTTACTATTTTTTATTCTTATGATTATTGTTAACCCAGTTTATTATAATTGTTTAGTATTATATAAGTGATGTTTATTTGATTTTGGTACCCGGACGGTAACTTGCTTGTTAAGCGTGGATTTTTTGCTGTACCCATCACTGTACCCATCCCCAATTCCCTTACGTTTACCCTTTCCTATACCCTTACTGATCCCATCCCTTTCCTATCCTTATAAAACCCAATAAAATATTTATAAAAAAAGAAAAAAGAAAAGCACATCTTCCTTCCCCTGTCTTGACCCCTTTCTACAGAGGGACAATCGAGAGCATCCTGTCATACAGCATCACAGTCTGGTTTGGAAGCATCCCTGCTTCAGACAGGAAGGTGGTGCAGAGAGTGGTGAGAATGGCCAAAAAGATCATTGGCAGTTCCCTCCCTTCCATCCAGGACATGGCACAGAAGCGCTGCTTGAGCAGGGTCCGCAAGATTATCTGGGACACTTACACATCCTCTTCACAACCTGTTATCCTTGTTACCTTCTGGGAGGAGGCTTCGTGGTATCCATAGCAGAACATCCAGATTCAGCCATAGTTTCATTCCATACAGCATTAATCTTGTGAACTCTCAAGCTTCCTCCTTCCGCTATATATTCAAGATGGACAGTATTTAATATTTATTTGCTACGTATATGTAGAGGTGTGGGTCTATACATATATTGTTCATAGTATGTTTAGGTGTGTGTCGTGTATGTGTTTCACTTTGAGAGCGGGCAACTAAATTTCATTTTTGATGTGTGCCGTTGTGCCCACAGTAAAAAAACGACAATAAAGGTTATCTTATCTTATGTTTAATAACATAGAAAAACAGAAAACAAAATGAAGTTTAACAGTCAAATGCAAAATTCTTACCAACATACAAAGTGCAATGATATAAAGTGGAGAAAACAAAGTTTGGTGATAGTATAGCTGAAAAAAAATCTTGAAGTTGTTCAAGCTAAATATGAATCAGCAGTGCAACTAAAAGGGTAATTGCAGTTTTAGGTTGCATTAACGTAATTATAGCTTTCAAATCAATAGAAAAATGTTCTATTAAATTCCATCTTGATCAGATCCCATCACAAATAAAATGCCCAGTTTTTGGAACTACAATTTAAGAAATATTCAGAAAAACTAGTGCAGTTCAGGGATTGAAACCTGCCATGAGAAATGATTGAATAAATTCTGTTTGCCCTTGGGGAAAAAAACCTGAAGGCACACATCACCATTTTTCAAGTACCTAAAGTGATATGAGTCAGAAAAGTGACATCTTCCACAAGTCAGAGAATATTCTTCTCAAGGTAGAGGAAGGTATTTGAATTTTAGCGCAAGCTTCCTAAAAAAAATTGAGCAGTGAAGTAGCAAACTCCCTTTGCTGGATGTGTTCAGATGAAGGATGGATAGGCATCCGTTAAGGATGCTCTAACTAGGATTCCTGCACTAAGTAAAAGATTGGGTTACTTGAACAAAATGTCAGCTTCCAACTTTATGATTTTTTAAAAATGTCTTATTGTTAACAAAAACATTCAGGAACTAAGGACCTTTCACAGCTCCTTAATCACTCAAGCAATTTGTATGATATTCCTTCTTTTGCATAATGCTTACTCCCTTACTTTTTAATTACCTGAAGTCCTGCTTGCACCGTTCAGTAAAAAAAAATTCTGATGAAAGACAACTAGAAACTTGGAAGGGTAATTATTAAACTGTTTAGTAATCTGTAATGACCACTGAAGGGCAGGGAAAAATCAATGCAAGAACATAAAAGTGTAAAAAGTTAGAAATCATTTGCATTTTCTTCAAACTTTTTCAGAGTAGTAATACAAAAGCACTATTGAACTGTTTCATAAATGAAAATGGAGACAAGGCAAGAGTCTTATTCCTCCAAGAGAGTAAGAGTACAGTCAATATAGACTACATATTTCACTGATTGAAATAAATGAGTGAAGGACTACATTTGGCAGTATTCTCTTTAAAGTTTTTCCTTCATAAATTTTAAATCACTGGTTCTGCCCATTATCATGAGATTCTCCTATTCAAAGATCATTTGTCAAATGTATGATTACCAAATGAAACATTTGAAGAAATATTCTATAATGTTACCAGAATGGAAGATAAATCCTTTTTGTATAAGGATAGTAGACAAGGAAAACTGTTGATAGTATAAAATAAGAACTCACCAACTTGATTTGCAGAAAAAGGCAAATTAAAATATGATTAGAGGACCAGTATAACATTCAAATTTAGACCAAGAGGTAAAGTGATTAAAGAGGAGCAATCATATTTTATCCATGGTTTGCTTAATCATGATAACTTGTGTAAACACAAATGGTTCATGGAAATCATAAACTATGATCTACAAACCACAACTGGAGATTTCATATATCCTGAATCAACAATATATGTTTTAACAAAGTGTGAATTCTGTTGTTGAAGAAGCACAAAACAATCCCTGCTGTTAAGAAACACAGAGACACTTAACTTAACCCTGTGTCATAACAAAGGCTATATTCACACAGCAATCTAATCCAATGTTTCTCAAACTGGGAAGCATGAAGATGTGCGGACTTCAATCCACAGAATTCTGGGAGTTGTAGTTCACACATATTGAAGCTGCCAAGGTTGACAAACACTGGTCTAATTTTCAACCAAACCACAATTGTCTCAATTTTAACCCCCGTGATGGATCTACAGAACAGACTAAGCCATAAATAAAACTGACTGCGTTTACACAAAGGACGAACCCACAAAGAGCTACTACCAAGCGTCGGGGGTGATTCCATCCTTTATTTGAGGTCCCAGCAATCCCCATCTAGATACCGGATGTCTCCGCTAGAAGCCATTAAACGCCAGGATTATGATCGGAAGTCAATCCCGATTTCCACCATCGCCGCCAAGGACAAGGCTCACGGGGCAACATCGCCACAAACACACCGGGCACAGGACTGCGAAAAGCTCCTTCCATATGCCTAAAGATGGGCAGGTAACTATGCACCTGTGCAGCGGCCATCCTTCTCGGTCACATCATGCTGCACGACCGGAGCCGCGGAGCGAGGCCCAAAAAAAAAAATAGGTGGCAAAGACCACGCCCCCAAGTGGGGAGGGCAAGTGCGGGTGCCCGCCCGGGGGTGCCCAGGAGCAGACAGCCCGTCCCGCCCCCACTGCGCATGCGCATAGGCGGGAAGCGCGAGGGGGGGAGGGCCCGTCCCGTCCCCCAACCCTACCTCTAACATCGTCGGATAACCCGCAACACGGTGTTCGCGCAACAGCCAGCGGGAAGGAGGCTCCCGCTTTCAGTTAGGCGTGCGGCGAGAGTGCCGGCATCGGGGGTTTTCCCGCCGCCGCCCCCGCCTTTTCTCCGCCCCTCACCCGGCTGAACTGCCTCACAAGAAGGCACGCGCACCCGACTGCCGCTCCCGCCGCCTACCTCGCGGGCTCCGTGGTCATGTCTCCGTCGCTGTCCCTCGCTCCCGGGCCGGGGGCGGCCAGCTTCAAGCGCTGAGAAGAAACAAAGCCGTTGGCGCCATCAACCCCACCACAGTCGCCACTGCCGCCATCTTGTCGGCGAGGAGGGAAGGCACCTCCTCTCCCCCGCCTTCCCTCTTTCGCTCCGCGTCCCGCCATTGGCTCTAGGGGGCTGGCATCTTTTTTTCGATTGGGCAGGTCGCGCCGGCGCTGTTGCTAGGGCGGTTGGCGTCATCGCTCCTCTCTACCGCTTCCGATTGGCTACTATGATGGCTGTCGTCGGCTGTTATCACGCCGTATGACGTCACTGAAATAGATCGGATTGCAGGGCCCCAAGTCTCTCCTGCCGTTCGACCAAGTGCAAAACGCTGCTTCTGCCTCGTTCAAGGCAGGCAACGGGGACGCTTTTGACGTCCCAGCCGCAACAGACTGTGTTGCACACCTAGTTTGCCACAGAGCTTAACGCATCTATTTTTCTCTGTTATTCTAAAACACATTGTATGACTTTATAAAGTTTTTTACATTTAACATTACTGTTAAGAAAGCATTCTACCTTCAGCATGGAATCCATAGCTAATCATCTCCTCTATGCTTCAAGGACAAGATGTAAGAAATTCTCCAGACAAATTAGATCGGAACTTAAGCAATTGAAGTCGCTTGTCTGAAATGGTCAGTGCCGTGGGCCGGTTTCATCGTACCGAAGCTGCGCCCACCCCATTGCCGGCAATGCAAAAAGAGTCACGTCACGTGGTGTGGCGAGTTTGACAGCCGTGGCACAGGTTCTTCTGCAGTGCAGTTTCAGAACCATAAGCTCTCTGAAGTCCCTGGGGATAACGCTGGATGGATGATTAACCTTCTGGCAACTCCTGGAAAAAAATCTGCAAAATTGAAAAGCTGCAACAATTTACTGCACAGACTGGCTGGAACATCCCGGGGTGCTGATGCTAATACCCAAGAACAACAGCTTTGGCTTTGGCTTATTTCACAGCTGAATATTGTGCCGGCGCCCACACCCAAATGATCAACGTTCAACTCCACCGGACAACGTGTATCATCTCTGTTACATTGCATCCCACTCCTTAGCACTGGTTGCCAGTACTTAGCAGCACTTCTAATGCCCTGCATTAGAAGACAACAAGCTCTCGTTCAGCTATGGTCAAGCATGCTGAACAACAGGGCCCTCCCTGTCCACCAGGACAACGCGCAGCCCATCACAAGATTGAAATCTTGCATAAGGCCAGCTTAGAAAACAGCCATTCCCTTAACCCCTACCCAGTTGAATCCCAAGAACCCCTGGAGAGAGCAATGGTCCAAGATTGTGGCCTGACCATTAGCGCTCTACCAAACCACCTGGTTTTGACCTATCTTAAGTTGAACAGGATTAGGTGTGATACTAGAAGAAGGGCCTTGGCCCCGTGTCAGTGGGGATGGAGATTCCCTTCCTTGTGATTGTGATGTTGATGTGCAAACTATTAAACATATTGTGCAAGACTGCCCATGCCATGCGTTCTCTGGTTCCTTAGAACAGGGGTCTTCAACCCCCAGGCCGTGGCCCACTATCAAGCCGTGGTCTATTTGGAATTGGGCCATGCAAGTGGTGGCTGGAGCGTGCAGAGCTCAACTTGTGTGGCGGGCTGGTAGGCACTCACACGTGTGCACGCCAGCCTGCTGTTCATGTGGCCAGTTCTCCCCCCCCCCAACTGAGCCGCAAAGGTTGGGGACCACTGCCTTAGAAGATCTGCATGAAGCAACACCAGAGGTGAGTGCCTGGATAGCTGAATTGGACATCCAGTTATGAGGCCATACGCATATACAAGTTTTACTTGTAATTACATAGACTGTGTATATATGTTTACTTCTCTTCTGCCTTAAGCTAAATAATAACTTAATAAAACCAAAATTGGCTGCATTCTATCATTAATCTCTAACTTGTGATTTATAAAGCTGAATAGGTTCACATCAACAAAATCATCATAGCCTTTATTTCTGTGTTATCATAGTTAATAATTACAATTATTGTAATCTTGACAATCACAGTTTATAAATTTAGTGCAACATGTTCAGGAGTCAAAATATATGTAACAAATAGGATTTCTTATAAGGAACTACTTAGATTGGTAGGGAATGATTGGCAATTAAAACCGTTAGTTGAGTTAAAGAAAATATTGTACGATCTTGGTTTCAGTATAATCAATTGTTGGCTAGGTGGAAGTTAGATCAAAAGGTTGGTATTACTTCAATGGATGAGAATTTGGTAAAACAGATTAAAGATCAAAACCTAGCGCATATAAAGAGAATTTATAATGCTTTAATAGAATTGGATTCAGCAATGGATTTAGTTAAAGATTGTATGGTAAATTGGGCCCAAAATATTCAAGAACCAATTCCATTGGATATATGGGAGGTAATTTGGGTTAGAAATGTAAAATTTACCCAGGCCCAAAATTTAAGAGAAAATTTTTATAAAATGTTTTATAGATGGCATCTGGATCCTAAAAACTTGTCTTGTATGTAACCTAATTTACAGCCCAAATGTTGGAGATGTGGTAGTTTGGATGCTACTTGTTTTCATATCTGGTGGACTTGCAGAAATATAAAAGCTTTTTAGATTAAGATTTGGTGGAACATTCAAAACATTTTTAGGAGAAAGATAAAGTTTACTCCACAATTATTTTATTGGGTGTTATTGTAGATTGTGATGCTAAAGAAACTAATTTGATGTTGAATTTGATAACAGCTGCAAGGTTATTGGTAGGGCAATATTGGAAGAAGGATTGTTTGCCTACTATAGAAGAATGGACCCTTAAAGTCTCAAATTTAGCAGAAATGGCTAAGATTTCTGCTTATTTGAAGGATCATTCACAAGAAAGATACATTTTGGTTTGGAGAAGATGGATAGATTATATTCGGAATAAATATGGGACTAAAAAGGTCCATTTACTTTATGAGTAAATTTTAGAGTATTATTATTATTAATAGTTTACTATAATGGAATTTTTATTAGTTTTATTATTATTTTTAATATTAATATTGTTTAACAATTTGGATATTGTGTTGTTCAAGAATTAGAATATTAACTTGTTTATGTTTAATTTGTTTATTTTTATGTTAAAGGGGAGTTAAAGTGCATTATGGACTTGGTTATTTACATAGTTGGTTAATGTTAGTTAGAGTATGATTATTATATTTGTTACCCTGTACTCAGTTCTGGGAAGTGGGGGAGGGAGAGGGGGGGTTTAGGGTGGGTGGGTTTGGGGGTATATATTGTAACTTTTATAAAATTTTTCAATAAAAAAATATATATGTAACAATGAGCCAAAGTAAAACTAGAATAGAATAGAGCTGGAAGGGACCTTGGAGGTCTTCTAGTCCAGCCCCCCGCTCAAGCAGGAGAATCTATACTGTCTCAGGTGAATGTCCAGTCTCTTCTTAAAAACCTCCAGCAATGGAGCGCCCGTGATTTCTGGAGGTAACCTGTTCCGCTAACTAAAATGAATGATATTCAAAATACTTATATCAAGATGAAGATATTTTAAAAGAAAAAATATACATTGCCCACCTCACATCTAACCAATTCCTGGTGATTTTCTTAGACAATTTTCTTGGCAACAATAGCTTTTTCTTAGAACCAGTCAATTCCAATATTATAGTAAGAAATTATTTCATTAGACTGGGTGTTACTGATAAATTTGTTTTCAGAATTTGATTTTCTATGACAGGCTATGGACAGCAAGAGGGAAAACTAAACATTTAGTTAATTAAATTAATTAAATGTTGAGGCCATCTGATTCCAAAATGGCTCTCGTTGGGCTTAAAGAAACAAGAGAGGCAGTTTGGTGTAGTGATGAAGTTGCAGGCCTAAAAACCAGGAGACTTGAGTTCTAGTCCTGCCTTAGGCACAAAAGCTGGTGGAGTTTGGGCCAATCACCAGAAAATGATTGCTAGTCTTGCCTTAGGCATGAAAGCTCGCTGGGTGACCTTGGGCCGGTCACCCCTCTCAGCTCAGCCCAGTCCACAGAGTTGTGGGGAGAATAGAAGTATCCACCGCTTTGAGTTATTTATAAAGTAATAAAATAAAATCTAAATTTAAAAATATAAGAAAAATAACTAGAATTCAGAGGAGACACACCTTGTTTTTCCAATAACGAGACATTAATTATGGAGCCTAATAGCAGAAGTGCTCTCCAAAGAAACCAAATTAAGAAGCATCCTTCAGTTTTGAATGGGATTTCTAAGTGACAGTTCCATATTTTAGTACTGTTTTTGTTGCTGGATTGTTTTAAATATTGCTGTACTCCATCTGCATACAATATGCAGAAAATGAAATTTATTAATAAATATTAAGTAAAATGTAGAATTCAGTCAATTCAACAAATAGACCAATCTATATTTTAAAAAAGATCCTGTATCAACTGACATACAATCCATTTTTTTATTGTTTTTCTGAAGAACAGCTTCTGCAAATATATGGGGAATCTGTAAATATTCTTGGAAATAAGGCTTGACACAAAACACCAATTTTGTAATTAAAAGCATCTAAATCAGAGTTCCCCAACATTTCTGGCTTTGCAGACTGGTGGGGGGGGGACACAGGAAATAGATCTGGTGAGTGGCCGGTCACGCAAATGGGGCACGCTCACCCACTGCTTGCGTAAGTGAGGATGCCCGTGCGCATGCTGGCCAGCCATTTCCGTAGCCCAGTGGCAAGCCCCTCATCTAAATGAATGGAATCCCAATGGTGCCAATATTGAAGCTGACTGAAAGGCAGCTGCTCAGCTACCTCCTCCCCACAATGAAGGGGGGAACGATGTGCAGGAGAACATCTTTGTGTAGTGAGGTTTTCCAGATGCAGTCAAGTTCGCAAAAAATTGCTGATTCAGGCTAAGAAATTGTTTATTGAAAGCTGACAAATATCCATAATAGTCATTTCAATATCCATGCTACAAGTTGGATGCTCTCAATCATATAAAAAGATATTTTTCAAACATTGTTGGAATCAAATACTGAAAAATTGTCTAATGTTGTTAAGGCACTTGGAAAGTAATTGAATATAGGAAACCTGTGTAAGAGAAAACTAAACAGCTGAGTTACAATTGTAGCTACTTCAAGAAATACATTTTTCTTGATCTTCCACAGCCCTTATTACACCCTGCCCAAAGTAAACCAATGCTACC